AGCTCATGGTTCACAGAAATGTCTTAAAGATACTGCTTGCACTACCAATGGACATTCTGAAAAGGAAATTAAGAAAACAATACCATTTGGAGTAGAATCAAAAAAGATAAAATACTTGGGAATAAATTTAACCAAAGAAGTATACACTTCCCCTGAGGGGGAGAAAGACTCATACACTGAAGACTACATTGTTGAAACAAATGAAAGACCTAAATAAAAAAAATACATCCTATGTTCCTTGATCAGAAGACTCACTGCTGTTAATGGCAGTCCTCCCTGAGTTGATCTATAGATTCAATGCAGTACCTATCAAAATTCCAACTGCCTTTTTTTGCAGAAATGGAAAAGATAATCCTAAAATTCATATGAAAATGCAAGGGACCCAGAGTAGCCAGAAGGACATTGAAAAAAAACAAAGAAGACTCACACTTCCAATTCCTAAACTTACTACAAAGCTGTACTAATCAAGACATTGTAGTGCTCTCAGAAGGTTAGGCACATGGGTCGATGGAATAGAATTCAGATTCCAGAAATAAATCCCACATTTACAGTCAATTAATTTTTAACAAAGATGGGAAGACAATTCATAGGGAAAAAGTCTTTTCAACAAACAATCTTGGAAGAGCAAATGTCCACATTAAAAAAAAAAAGGAATTTAGACCCATACCTCACATCATATATAAAAATTAACTCAAAAAGGATCAAAGATCTAAATGTAAGAGCTCAAACTATAAAATTCTTAGAAGACATATGGGTAAATCTTCATGACCTTGGATTTGGCAGTGGTTTCTTAGATACGACATCAAAAGCGTAAGTAATCAAAGAAAAAAATTGGTACTTTGAACTTCATCAAAATTAAAAACTTTTGTGCTTCAAAGAATACTCTCAAAAAAGTGAAAAAATAAATAAATAAATAAATAAATAAAACAAAAAAGAAAGTGAAAGAACAACCCACAGAATGGGAGAAAATATCTCCATTCATACATGTATCTGAAAAGGTCTAGCATCCAGAATATATAAAGAACTCTTACAACTCAACAATAAAAAAGACAATTTGCCCAATTGAAAAATGGGCAAAAGATCTGAATTAACATTTCTCCAAAGATCTGCAAGTGGCCAAAATCACATAAAAAGATGCTCAACATCATTAGTTATGAAGGAAATGCAAATCAAAACTACAATGAGATACCACTTCACACCCAATCAATGGCTAGAATTTTTCTAAAAAGAAAGAAAGAAGCAAGGAAAGCACAATAACAAGAGTTTATGGGGATGTGGATGAATTGGAACCCTGGCTCATTGCTGGTGGGCCTGTAAACTCTGCAGCTGCTTTGCAACAGTTTGGCAACTCCTCAAAGATTGAAGCACAGATTTACCATATGACCCAACACTTAGCAATTCTACTTCTAGATACAGAGTTAAGAGAATTGAAAACATATGTTACACAAAAACTTATACATGAATGTTCATAGCAGCATAATTCATAATAGCCAAAGAGTGGAAAAACCCAAATATCCATCACTTAGTCAGTGGATGCCCAGAATGGTCAAGAGGAAATGAGATACTCCCACACCACCTTGGAGTGAGACACCAGAGCATATGGATCATGTTGCACCAAAGACTTGAGAGGAGGTGTGGAGGGTTGGGGGGTGGAAGAGTTACAGAAGACACTGTGGGATGGAAAGAATTGTGCTGAAGTCTAGGAAAGTTGAAGCTAGAATGTTCTAGAAGAAGGCCATTAAAGGAATCACCTGGAGCAAAGCCTTGAAGGCCTGTTGCACATGCAGAGGACAGGAAGCAGAGGTCCTTAAGGAAGGAATATCGGGGATGGGGAGCTGGAGAGGTGGACCAGACAGTGGTCCAAAGACACCACAAAGACTCGCGATCCAGGACTGGCACAAGAAGGGGGATGTGCTTGGCATGAGGTCTGCGCACACACCACCCTCCTGCCTTGTGGGGGAGAAGCAGTGTGACATCTGTTGGTGTAACTTTAGCCCCACCATCCTTCCAGACCACAGCGCCCTTCCCCTGACCCCGGCCCCTTGGCCAAGCCAGCAGAACCTATGCATGTGTTTTGGGCTTGAGAAAGCACCTTCCCCCAGAATGGAAATCCTGTAGGGCCTCCCCACCCTCCCTGCCCACCCCAGTGCCTGCACAGCTCGGGGCTGGTGCTTGGCTTTGCAGGTCCTAGTAGCTGTGGTCTCATCCTTTGCTCACAGACCTCAGAAAGGCGAGCCTCTAACTCTCGGTGGCGTTTAGCTTCGCTCTTTAAACATCTGGGTCACAGATATGCTCAGTTAATTAATGTTCTTAGTGCTGTTCATTTGCCTGCTGGATAATAGATTGATTCATAATTTCAATAAGCAGCTGTGTATATCTTTCCCCTGAACATAAAAGCAGCTTGCTGTCATTCATCACTTTGCATTTGGTGAATTTGAGTATATTCAGAGAGACATTGTTTAGGGAGGGGCAAGGAGGGCTTTTGATTTTCTTATCATTTTGCCTCTGACAATCACTCTGATTTGGAACTAATTTGGGTTTAAAGCACATGTTAACCACATCTCTCTCAAAGGCACTCAATAGACTCCCTGTCACTTGTTTCAGAGGGGAGCAGGTGGGCCCCCCTTTGGGGATTAAGGCAGAGGGTTTCTGAGTGGTTTTCATCAGCAATGAGAACCCCTGCAGAAAATCTTATCCCCTGGAGAAGAGGCACTGGCGGCCCAGAGCTGCCTTCTGGCTTCTTTCCTGGCCGGAAATGCCCAGGCTCTCAGGAGAAGCCCAGGATCATGTAGGCAGAGGCCTCTTTGCTGCTCAGCTGCTGGGCCAGGGCAGCCAACCATGTGGGTCTCTAGGGTCCCAAGGGGAGAGGCCAGGACCCAGCCAGGTGACCAGATGTCTTCAGACCGCAGTTTCTTCATCTTTAAAACAGGGAGAGTAATAGAAACTTACCTCACTGAGTTGTAAAAATCACATTCTTTATTCTCTGTACAATGCTTAGAAATGACGCAGTGTGCCTTTAATACATGCAAGCTGGTAATTTTATGTTTTAATTTATTTGGCACTAGCTGTATATTAATAATCTTCACTCCTACCCCCACCACCTCATAGGATGTGAGAGCAAAAATGAGACATGTACTTTCCTGTCTCATTGCCTTCACCAGCCCGCACTGGAATTATCAGTGGGATCACAGCCACGTCCTCATATTCTCAGAAACCGGTTCCCAGGCTGGTCGCACAGAGAACTCTTCAAAACAGGTTTATGGAGTTTAAATGAATGGACGTAGCTGCATCTTTTAAATGATGTCGCTTACCACATTTATAATGTGCTCATCCACAAACATGTTTTGAGCACTTGGTCTGTGATTTTCTCCTAGCAAAGAAGGAAATTAATTACACACAGTCCCTGCCCCTAAAAGACTGTGAAAGACGGATGAATGCATTTGCTCAAAGGTTGGAATACAGAATTTTAAACAACACAGACAGGCAGGAGAGGGAGGCCACTTGAGTAGCATGGGTCCTGCTGTGGGAAGAGTTGGTAGGCAGCACCATCTCCATATCAGTTAGCTCTTGCTGCATAACAACTATCCCCCCCCCAAAATTTAGTGGCATAAAGCAATATGCATGTATTATGCATTATCCAGATCAGCTGGGTGGTTCTGTGAGCTGGACCAGGCTTGGCTGATTTCAGCTGGACTCATTCATACATCTCTTGGCAGCTAGCAGGTCAGCCGAGGGCTGCCTAATCTAGGACGACCTCGTCCACTTGTCTGGTGGTTGGCTGGCTGTTGGTTGGGCCATCCAGAGCTTACTGCCACGGTGCCAACAGGACTCCAAGAGCAAGAGGGTGGAAGCACGCAAGGCTAAAGGTCTGGTCCAGGAACTGGCACATCTTTGCTTCCGCTATATTCTGTTGGTCGAAGCAGGTCACCAATACTCAGGGGATGGAGGAACAGACTTCACTTCTTGAAGGACATTGCTTCGGAAGTCTTACTGCCCAGGGTGTATAGAAGGAAGAATGAAGGATGTAGCTTTAAAAAAGAAAGATTTTATTTATTTATTTGGGGGAAGGGAGAGAGCAAGCAGAAGGGGGGGCAGTGGAGAGAGAAAGAGAATCTCAAGCAGACTCCCTGCTGAGCATGGAGCCCGACCCAGGGCTTGAGCCCACAACCCTGAGATCATGACCTGAGCCGAAACCAAGAGTCAGACGCTTGACTGACTGAGCCACCCCGGTGCCCCCACAATCCCCCAGCATTTGTTGGTGTGCATGGAGCAGAAAGCAGGTGCCAGGACTGTGGTACACCTTTAGGACGCTTCTGCTTTTTCATCATTATAAATAGTGTTGCAGCGAATATCCTATATACATTAACTTGTGTTCCCGGTTTTGACTGTTACCTTGGGATAAATTGCTAAAAGTGGATTTATTGGGTCAAAAGAGAAAAAAAAATTTTTAAAGCACAAAGAATATATTTTGAAATCCCCTTTTTGAAAGGTTGTCGTAATTTTCCCCCACTGCAGCCCATTTTATGCTAACCTTGACAATATGAGAATAGGTTTATTTTTTCTTTCAATGTGGTATCACCTTGCTGTTTTAGTTTAACACCTGTTAAGTTTAATGTTTTTTAATATATCTGTTTCTTTTTCAGTGACCTGCCTCTTTGGGTACTTTACACCAGGGAGGAATTAATTAATTAATCCCAATTTACAAATGAGGTGGAAATGCAGACTCGGAGAGGTTAAGTGACTTATCAGGGTTGCCCAGCCAGCTGGGAGCAGAGCCGAGCTTTAGAAATCACACGTCTTGCTCTTTTATTTATTCCTCTGCTCCCTCATGTTGCTGGACAGAAGCCCACGGTCCAGAAACACTGACTGAGGACATGCTTAGAAAGAAATACGCCTGGCCCTGGGGACGCTGTATCCAGGCTTAGCAAGCCAGGGACGCATGGGTGAGACCTGCAGACCTGAGTCAGCTCTCCCCACCCTCTCCTCTGCTCTCTCCCCAGCTTGCCCGCTACACCAAGGAGGGCTTCCTGCACCTGGGCGCCCTGGGGACCACCACACTCCTCCCCGACACCCGCTGCCTGGTGGACAACTCCAAGAGTCGGCTGCCCCAGCTCCTCGACTGTGACAAAGTCAAGAGCAGCCTGTACAAGCGCTGGAACTTCATCCAGGTGAGTGCCCCAGGGAAAGGGCCAGCACCCCAGAGCAGGGGAGGCTGCTGCGGGCCACAGGGGGAGCTGACTTTCCCAGCAAAGCGCATCCAAGGTCTCCAGCCCTGGGCCAGCCTCATGAACCCAAAGTACGTCCAGGGGCAATCAACGGAGGAGGATTTCAGGTGGGACAGTCTCCCAGGTCCCTGCAGCAGCACCAGGCAGGCTGGGCTCTGATGAACCTCGGGAGGGGAGTGTGCGGTGATTTCCCTGAAATCTGCTAAGTAGTCAGTTAAGATGGAGAAAGTCAGACCCCACTCGGACACCATCCCCCATCGGTGCTTGTCACCTGGTTCAGCCATTCAAACGTGGTGAAGCTGATACGTTTTCTGACTTTGGGGTTTCTGGAGGAGGCTCTGTTGATCCCTACCCCTGTGCAAAGAATTTTGGTGGGACCGCTCCCCATGAGAGGCCATGTGCCGGGCACTATAGTGGTTAAACCTCTTTCTCCGTCTCTCTCTGCATTTCTGTCTCTCTCCGTTTCTTTCTCTCATTCTCTTGTCCCTCTGTCTCTCTCTACCTTATTCTCTATATCTCTACCTCCATCTGTCTCTGTCTCTCTTTGTCTCTGTATCTCTCTCTCTGTCTCATTATGTCTCTGTCTTTCTGTCTCTCTCCTCCTTTTACCCAGAATGGAGCCATCATGAATAAGGGCACAGGGCGATGCCTAGAGGTGGAGAACCGGGGCCTGGCTGGCATCGATCTCATCCTCCGCAGCTGCACGGGACAGAGGTGGACAATTAAGAACTCGATCAAGTAGCGGGGTTGGGGGGGAGCAGGGGCCCCTAGAGCCTGGGCCCCGGCCCGGGGTCTGCCCATCTTCTGGACCAGCCACACTGGTAGAGAGACAGCAGGAAGCCAGCAGGTGCTCGGTGGGCCTCCTGGGGCTTCTCCAGAGCAACACAGGGGCCCCGGATGGAGACTTGGTGTCCCCCCTTTGGCGCTCAGCAGCCATGAAGCCTATGCTCCCTGGAAAAGCCCCGCACCCCTCCTCTGGAAACCCAGGAGCCGTGTCTTCTGCCACCTGGACGCGGACCGCGTACCATGGAGTGAACCCCCATGTCCTCTGCGTCCTCTCCCCAGCCACTCGCAAGACTGGGACTCGCAGGGGCCCCTCTTTCTCATCTCTTGCAGCAGCAGCTTTTGAATGCCACCCCCAGGCCTCAACAGAGTGGGGGGTGGTGCTCAGCCGCATCCTGTCTCCCTCTTCTTGGAAGAGGCCCTTGAGACTCTGTGTCCCTCGACATTGCTTCTGCCCAGATGCCCATTTACAAGGCAGCCTCCACCCCCAACCTTTCCATCAGATGGACAGCCCTGGACTTTTCTGGACCCTCCCTAAGATGGCCTGGAAGGAATTAATGCTTCCGTGGTCACCCCGTGGGGCTCTAGGCTCCGGTGTTCCTGGGCCAACTGCAGAGAGACAACTCCGTGTCTGCAGAGAGCCAGAGACGGAGAGGCTGAGCGCACAGGGAGGTCGTGGCTGTGAGGGGGCCCCCGGGGCTGGAGCCGGGCCGGTGCAGCTCTGCCCCCCGCCCCGGGGACTAGGGAGCCCTGACTCACCCAGAGCTTAAGGACTGAGGCCAGCACAACAGAGGGGGCCTGGACCCTGGAGGATGCTCCATGTTCACCTCATTTCACCCCATGTTCTGCTGGCTGACAGGGGAGAAGGCAGTCGATTCCTCTCTGAAGAGTAATAATTTTTTTCGATTGCCCTCTGGTTAGGGTGCACTTATAAATCAGAGTTAATATATGGATGCGTGTGCATGCCTATGAGTATGTGTGCCTGTGTGGTGTGCGTGACTGCGTGTGTGCGCGTGCATGAGGGTGTCTGGGTGTGTGCCTAGGAGTGTGTGATAGAGCAGATGTCAGTGTGTGATGTCCTTGGGCTTGTCGCTTCCTTGCTCATCTGGATCAGGACAAGGCTGCAGGAAGCTGGGGGCGGGGGGGGTTGGCCATGCTTCTTTGGCCAGGAGGACGTGGCCCAGACTTGCCCCATGTGGAGCCCCAGATGGAAGGCTGTCCCTTTGGCCAGTTCCCTCTCTGTCCCTCATGCTATCCCCAAAGGCCAAGCCCTGCCCAGAACCAAACCCTGTAATCGCCCAGTTTGGGTTCACAGTGTCTCATTTGGTGGCATCTTACTGGTGATCGCCCCCCGCCCCATTCCTCCCTTGTGAAATAAATACATGTGAGCACTTCCCAGAACAGCCTTGCTTGCTTCTTGGTTCCTCCAGAACCCGGGGCTCAGGGGGAGTTCCTGGAACATGGCAGAGGGCGCCTTTCGTTTGAGGGTTTGGTCTTGTGAGCAGCATCCCTCAGAGCAGAGGCTGAGACAAAACCAGCCTGCACTTGGACTCAACTTCCTCCCCCAAAGAGGGACAGAATTTGATATTTGGCACTCACTCACTGACCCCCTGGTGGCCGCCAGCGTACGAGGGTCAAGCTGGCACAGGAAGCTGAAAGAGGAGGAGGGTTGAGGCAACCTGGCCGTGTCGCCCTGATCTGCCCGCTCCTGATGCCATGCAGCCGCTGATACCTCTCAAAACCGCGGTGCCTCTGCCAGAAGCATCTGCCCCTTTTTATCATGGAAATGTGAAATCCTTAAAGATGCCAGACCTTCTGTCACGGAGATGGGTCTGGTCAGGGGTCCCCTCAGCTAGGACAACCCCTCTTCCCTTTGAGGAGGCCAAGAAGGTCGATCCTGTTGGATGTTACACAGACAGGCATATCCATGGACATTCCCATTTTTCTTCTGGGTTCTATGAGAACCGGGTCCATGAGATGGAAAATGATGCCGTTTGGTAATAAGGAGCTCATCAGACTTTAATATCAGAGTCTCAGGGCCACCATGAAGTGAAAAGAGCTAAGGTCTGCACGTTCCCGGGGGGGTCAAGGGAGACATTGGGAGACTATTGCAATACGATGCCTTGGGAAGGAATCCCGCCCTGACTGCACCATTCTCCCTCTGTGTGGGTCTTGAAGGAAAAATATAAAGAAGGCATCATCCTGTTTTACCATTGGCTGAGGTTTTGATCCCAAATCCTGGTGAGGTACTCAGTGGAATCCTTCATTCTACAGGAAAGGGGCCCAATGGCCTCAAACCAAAGTAAGCGGCAAGACCTGCTCGGTTCTCTGATGGAGTGGGAGCCCGCACCCTCTAGTGCTCCAGCACGCTCACTGCATCTGGGGCTCCTTCGTACTCCAAGCTGCACCTCTGAAATAACGAATAGCAGCAAGTATCCTGGAACGTGTGAGAGAGAAGTACCCTTCTTCAGTGTCCCGTGCAGCAGGACAGGATGTTTGGGTTTGCTTGCTGATGTGTGTTGGCAGGGGGGGGGGGGGGGGGGGGGGGGGGGGGGGAGCGCTGGTTCAGGACCACGGGAGGCTCTCTGCGTTCATATGGGCATCTGCTGTCGGCACTCACCTGAGCTACTTCCCAGAGGCTCAGCTACCTGGAGAGACGGGCCAGAGCCCGAGGCCAGCATCCCAGGACGGCACCCTCTTCCCCCCACAGGGTCCCTGTGGGCCTGAGGGTGGTGGGGTGGCGGGCCAAGAGGGCCAAGGCAGAGAAAAGGAATGAACAAAGTCAAAGGGGGAGGAGAGAAAAGAGAAGCAGGGCCCTGGGGAGCCTTGCATCCCAGTCCTCAGGATTTGGAAGCTCCAGGGCCCCATGTCTCCTCACAGTGGCAGCGAGCTCCAAGTGTCGGGTTCCAGGAGCATCTCACACTCCTTCAGCAAACAGTGGTAGTCGGCACCATCTGGAGCTGGGGGGATCACTCCCTGCCCTCACCGGGGGGATGCTGCAGAGGGGGCTGAGCTTGGACAGCCACTGCTCCACACCCCCTCTGTCCCCCCAGCCCCTCCCCTGCACCCCCACTCCCCTATCTGGTGACTATTTCTTCTTTTCTCTCATTTCTCCTCTCCATATTTATGGCAGAAAACCTCACCGATGGTGTTCCTGACACATGTCCAAACCTCACCGCCAATCTCTCTGATTCTGTATGTGTTCTTTCTTAAATGCCTTCTTTATGTTTATTCTGGTGGCCAGAGAAGGAGAAATAGGGAAGACTGGGAAAGCACACTCTGGGCCAGAAGCCACCATCTTAACCCACTCCGAGCCGTTTTGCTTGGTTTCCTGAAGCCATTTCTCTGCATCTGAAACATCTTCCTACCGTTCTTGAGAAGTATCCCGGTTTCCCAAAGGGCCGAAGTCAGGCTTGGGCAGAGCAGACGGCTCTCCCAGGGCTGCCCCATGGGTTGTCCCTGATTTGCATGCTGTTTCTCTCCTTCCACTTTGCTTGGGACTGCTACTCTGAGTGACGGCCCCGCCAACCCCCCCCCCCCAACCCCCGTGACAGCCCCCCAGGGGATGGGCTTGGGAGGGGCCTGGAGCCTGTGCAGGAAACCAGGAGGCCCAGGCCAGCAGGAAGCTGACAGGTGCCTGGCTGCGGGTTCCCAGTCTCTGCTCATTGTCACATCTCTTGTTTTTGCTTGTTCTTTATTAAGTTTTTAGTTTAATTCCCGTGTAGCTAACAAATAGTGTTACATTCATGTCAGGTGTACAATGTAGTGATTGAACACTTCCATACATCAGCCTGTGCTCATCATGACAAGTGTGCTCCTTAAACCCCATCACCAGTTTCCCCCATCCCCCCTCCCACCTCCCCTCCGGTAACCATCTGTTTGTTCTCTATAGTTAAGAGTCTGTTGCTTGGTTTGCCTCTCTCTCTTTTTTCCCCTTCGCTCATTTGTTTCTTAACTTCCACAATTGGTGAAATCATATGGTATTTGTCTTTCTCTGACTTATTTCGCTCAGCATTATATTCTAGCTCCATCCGTGTTGTTGTAAATGACAAGATTTCGTCTTTTTGATGGCTCAGTAATATTCCATCGTATATATCCACCACAGCTTCCTTATCCATGCATCTGTGGATGAACACTTGGCTGCTTCCATAGTTTGGCTATTATAAATGGTGCTGCTACTAAAAGGCAACCTCCCCTCGCTCCCGATCGGCTCCAGGTCATCAGCTCCTAATCCATTGCCATTCCTCTTGCCCAAATCATGAATCTGAATCTCTCGGCCACTCTGCTTTCTCACTTATCAGGCAAGTTCCCGAAACCTGGGCATAGCGCTCCGCGGTGGGCCCCAAACTCCAGAGGCCCATTTCAGTTCAGTTCAACAATCACCTTTGGACACTTATCCTTTGGTTTGCTTTTTAAGACTCCTTAGAAGGGGTGGGGGGAAGGAAGAAGGAGCTAAACCTCATTGAGCAAGCGCACGATCAGCATCTTGGTCTTTACCCCTTAAAGCTTATATTGGAAAGAACACAGATACAATATATAGGGTCTCCCCACCCCTGGAGCCTGGGCAGTCCTGAAATGGGGTCTACTCCTATCAGCATAAATGGGGATCTTGGTGTATTTACAGATTTCAGTGTTCTTGCCCCCATGAGGCTCCAGCTGAGGAGCAAGTGCGGCTCCCAGCTTGATTTTATCGGCTGCCTGTTGCCCTGGGCTTCCAACACCACCCAGGCACAGAGAGCCAAGTTGAAGAACTAAGCAAGCCAGGCAGGGATCATTGGTGTCGCGGACGGTGGCAGAACATGGAGACTGTCAGCCCTAGCCAGTTATCGTCATCATCCTTAATAAAGAGTCAGAGGCTTCCTAATACCCCAGGGTCAAAATATCATCTCATTCACTCTTTCATTGGATGCCCACCTACCTTAATCACTTGGCATCTGCTTCATACACTCTACAGCTTGTCTTAGGGCAGAAGACGCTCTCTGCTGGTGAGCCAAGCAGAGGCCAAATCTCAGTAACCTCTTCCCACCGCCCACCCTCTCGAGCTCTGAAAATAAGATTAACTGTGCATTAAAATCCACAGTGTGCCTTAAAGTTGTAATACTGTGGGTTATAAGGGAGAGAAAAACAACCATTGGCAGCCTTTGATCAGTAGACAGTGTCCTCCGCCATCTGGCGAAATGGCTAACTTTCTTGGCTAGGGAAGCCGCGTCCTGTTTGCCACAGGATTGGTCACATCTTGTGAAAAAATGTGTATCTACTGTTTCTTAGGAAAACTAATAGACGGAATCCTTCTGAGAAGAAAAAAAAATCCTCACAGCCCCTCAGGGTTGACCTAATTTATCTTTTATTGTCATGTTTCTCAAATATGTGTAAACATAAAACGGCTTTTGCTCATGGACCCGTTACCGCTATAAAATAAAAATAAATTTACAAGTCGATACAAACAAATCGACCAAGTCAATAAAACTTAAGTGAACGTTCATTCAACCTGGTGGCGGCCTCCCTTGCCTCCACCAGGTTCCTGCTGCTTCGAATGTGGCCCTAGTGGAGGTTCTTCTGTGTCCTGTGATAACTCGAACCTTTCTCCTCTTTTCTGCGCTCCAGCTGC